GTGAGTTTAAATCCAGCCTGGGCTATATAGCCAAGGCCTGTCTCAAAAAACAAACACAAACAAATAAAGCCAGACATGGTGGTATATGCTTGTAATTCCATTCCAGCAGGGCATGGTGGTGCATTGGGAGGCTGAAGCAAAAGGATGGAAAGTTCAGGTACTGGCTGGGGAACTTAGTGAGACCCATCTCAAAAGAAAAATTAAAAATAGGGTTGGGGCTGGGCGTGGTGGCACAGGCCGGTAATCCCAGCACTTGGCCCAGGATCGTTGCGAGTTCAAGGTCAGCCTGGGCTACAAAATGAGCTTAAGAGGGGCTGGGGATATAGCTCAGTGCAAATGCCCTGGGTTCTTTCCCTCAGGCTGTAAGACTTACAATAAATAAATACTTGAAGAATAAAAAAGGGGCTGGGGATGTAGCATAGTGTGAACACCAGAATCAACTCCAGAAGAAAAAAATATATATATTAAAAAACCTCAGTCTGGTGCGCATGTGTGTTTGGGGGGGGGCGATGCACTCCCTTTCTGCCTCTGGTTTTAACTGAGATTTTTAATTAGGTCTTTTAAAAGCTCTCTCAAAAACAAGAGAAAACACCGCAGCCCAGCCCTGGGACAGCATGTCAATCGCTTTTCGTAAACTGGCAGTAGCTGTCCAAACCAGAAAAGATCGCCTTCACAGCAGTTTTGGGGACCCCTCTCCACCCTTCTCTTCAAACCCAGTGAAAATGGGTGTGGTGGCGCACGCCTGTAATCCCAGCACTCGGCAGGCTGAGGCAGGAGGATCGTTGCGAGTTCGAGACCAGCCTGGGCTACAAAGAGAGCTCAAGGCCAGCCTGAATTGCATAGCTAGACCCTGTCTCAAAAAGGCACACACACTACCACTTTGAAGATATCAATATGTAATACAACAAGCATTGTCAATTTCCTACCACTTTGTTTGTAATCCTATACTGTCTGTACTGTTCTTTTGCTATTTTGTAAAAGGTTGTCTGTCTGTTAATGTTTTCCTCCTTTTATTTTTAAAATTAAAAAAAAAAAGACACACACACACACACACACACACACACACACACAAATCCCATTGAAGGCTGGGCCAAAGCTCAGCACGCCACCCTACCCCACCCCTCCCAGTAGCCTAGCCAGATGCCTCTAAAACCCCCGTAGGTGCGGCAGGATGGGAGGATTTGGAGAGAAAGTGTCCTTCACTTTTGGTCCCGCCCCACCCGCACTCTGAAGTTTGCTGTGATTGGCTGTGCCATTCCAGACTTTCCAATCAGGAAGCAGCCTTGGAGCCAGGGGTGTGGCCTGGATTCTCACCCGGTTGGTCCCCTACTTCCTCTTCGGTCTCCAGCCCCGCCCGGCGACGCCCAGTGGGGAGGCCATGCATGACTAAGCAGGAAAGCGCTACTGGACCCGCCCGAAAGGGCTGAGCCACGCCGCGCCCCGCTGACCTGTCCTGCTAGAGTATAGGATGAGGATTTGCGGGCCGAGGTGGGTACCGTGGGACCTGGTCCTTCCTGTTTTTGTGTGACCCAGAAAAACTCTCGATCCTTTGCTGACCTTTAGTTTCTCTTCTATACAGAGATAAGAAAAAACCTTTCCAGCTGGACATGGCGGTGCTCGCTTGTCGTCCTAGTATCCTGCTAGGCTGAGGTAGGAGGATCGCTGAGAGATCCAGGCCAGCCTGAACTACACAGCGAGTCCTGTCTCAAAAATCAAAGAGAAGCCAGGCTTGGTGGCGCACGCCTGTAATCCCAGCACTCAGGAGGCTGAGACAGGAGGAGCTTTGCGAGTTCAAGGCCAGCCTGAACTGCATAGTGAGACCCTGTCTCAAAAAGACAAAAAAAAAAAAAAAATCAAAGAGAAATGACAGGTGTGGGTGAGAATGTAAAGAAATTGGGAACTGCGAACCCCAGTCCTTTGCTGATAGGAAGTCAAATGGAGAAACTGGTGTGCAAAACTAGTGTCTTTCCTCAGCATGTTAAACAATTTCCATAAGACCCAGCAGTGCCACTCCCAGGTGTACACCCAAGAGAATAGAAAAGGCTCTCAGACACACACTGGTACACGAATGCTCACAGCAGTATTATTCAGGGTAATCACAGGGTAGGGCCAGGGTGTAGCTCAGAGGCAGGGCGCTTACCTAGCATGAGGGCCCCTGGGTTCCATCATCCCTGGCAACTAAAAAAAAGAGAATGTAGAAAGAACCCAAGTGTTCATCAACAGACGAAAGGGGAAACATAATTTTGGTAAATCCATACAATGACATTTCATTATAAAAAAAATATATACTGCGTGTTACAATGTAGATAAATCTTTTTTTTGGAGGGGGGGGCGTTTCCAGTACCGGGAATCGAACTCAGGACCTTGCGCTTGCCAGGCAGGTGCTGTGCTGCTAAGCTAAATCCCCAGCCCCTAGATAAATCATTTTTAAGTACATGTTTGCCATACATAATGAATACACTCGCTGTGAGCAGTTGGTGCATGTACATAGATCACACCTTGGTCCTTTTTCACGTCCTCCTCTCCTTTGCTCCTTCCCCTCCCCTTCTATCCGTAGATCTCCTTCCCAATAGCAAAACTTTCCTAGTGCCTTTTATTTTGCACTTTATTTTTTTCAGACAGGGTCTCAATATGTAGCCCAGGCTGGCTCAAACTTGCAGTGATCCTCCGGCCTCAGCCTCCTGAGTGCTGAGATTACAGGTGTGTGCCACCACACCCAGCTTATTTTGCTCTTTAAATCATTTATACTGTGAGTTTCTCATATAAGAGAAACCCTGTAATATCTAACCTGGGTCTGATTTATTTTGCTTAGCATTATGGTCTCAAGTTGCATCCATTTTCGTACAGATGACTCCAAGTTTATCCCTTACAGCTGAGCAGTGCGCCACTGTGCACATACCCCATATGGGCACTACCCGTTCATCTGTCCATACACACATAGGCCCTTGCAACCTGGATGAATCTTGAAGACACGATGCTCTGTGAAAGACACCAGACTCCGAAGTCCATTTGTATGAAATGCTTAGTCCAGGCAAATTGATACAGAAAGTAAATTAGTAGTTTCCAGGGAGACGAGGGGGTGTGAATGGGTAGTAACTGCTAATGGGTATGAAGACTTTGGGAGTGTGTGCGGTTATGTAGTGGTGATGGTTGCATAGCCCTCTGCATATACTAAAAACCGCTGAATGGAATCTCCTGAAAGGGTGAACTTTATGACATGGAAGTTATATCTCAATAAAATTGTTACTGCGCTGGGCATGTAGCTCCATGGTATACTGTGTGCTTAAGAACAAGAGGACCTAGCTGGGCATGGTGGTGCACGCCTGTCATCCCAGAATTCGGGAGGCTGAGGCAGGAGGATCGTTGCGAATTCAAGACCAGCCTGGGCTACAAAGTGAGCTCAAGGCCAGCCTGAACTGCATAGTGAGACCCTGTCTCAAAAAGACAAAAAATTAAAAAAATTTTAAAAATAAAAACAAGAGGACCTGTGTTAGATACCCAGGATGAGTTAACAAAACAGCTGCAGCAGCCAGAGGTGGTGGTACATGCCTATAATCCCAGCATTATGGGAGGGTGAGGCAGGAGGATCAAAAGTTGGAGCACAGGCTGGGAACCTGAGTGATTTAGAGACCTTATCTCAAAAAACAAAACAAACAAAAAAACACATTATTTTTAAAAAGCAGGCCTGGGCTGGGTGTGGTGGCACATGCTTGTAATCCCCGCATTTGGGAGGCTGAGGCAGGAGGATTACCACTAGTTCAACGCCAACCTGGGCTACTTTGTGAGTTCAAGGGGAGCCTGAACTGCATAGCAAGCCCCTGCCTCAAAAAGACAAAAAAAAAAAAAAAAAAAAAGCAGGCCTGAGCTGGGCATGGTATGCACACCTGTAATCCTGGCATTTGGGAGGCTGAGGCAGGAGGATTACCACTAGTTCAACGCCAACCTGGGCTACTTTATGAGTTCAAGTCCAGCCTGAACTGGACAGCAAGACCTTGTCTAAAAAGAAAAGAAACAAAAAAGAAAAAAGTAGACCTGGAGGTGTAACTCAGATCTAGACTGCTTGCCTAGCTTGAACAAGGCCCTGAGTTTAATCCCTAATACCATGAGGGAGGGGGGAAAAAGAATGCACAAAAATAAACCAAAAGGAGAAAACCAATAAGGAGGTAAACCAAAAGGAGAAAGGAAGAGGCTGTAGGAAAGAGGGTGGGGCACTGGGTAGAGAATGTCCCAGAAAATGATCTGGGAATTCGAGGGGGCAGGAGGGTTGATGGAGATGGGGTGAACACACTAGGGCCTTTCGAAAACAGGGTATCTAATTCTCAGTTTCTGGTTCTTTGTTGGATCCTTGCTCCACTTCATCAGCCAAGCGTGCTATCCACACAGCCTGGGATCAGTGGTACTTTGGGGGTGAAGGGTGTGGCTGATTGAACAGGAAAAATGAGAATTTTAGAGGAGGCAAAAACAGGCGCTGAGTCATCTCTTACCATGATCCTTTTGTTCTGATCACTGTTCCCTCCTTCCTTTCCTTTCTTCTTTCTCTCCTTCCTTTCCTTTCTTCTCTTTCTTTTTCTGAGAATTTTAGAGGAGGCAAAAATCCCAGGACTCGGGAGGCTGAGGCAAGAGGATCGTTGCAAGTTTGAGATCAGCCTGGGCTAGAAAGTGAGCTCAAGGCCAGCCTGAACTCCATAGTGAGACCTTGTCTCAAAAAAGACCAGAAAAAAAAGAAGAAAAAAATAAACAAAAACAGAAAAAAACAGGTGGTAGATTTAGAAATCAGCAAAAGGCAAGGAGCAGACTTTAGCAGAATCTAAACTCCCTGAGAATTTCTGAGATTTGTGGTAGGGATGCTGCATATCCTGATTTGATGATATCCTGGCAGTGTGTGTGTGTGTGTGTGTGTGTGTGTGTGAGAGAGAGAGAGAGATGCTGGGGATCGAAAATGACCACATGCACACTAGACAACCCCTCTGGTCCTGAAGTATAATATCTCTAGCCCTGGATCCTTTTAGGGGACAAGTTGAAAGACAGGAGCTATTTAATTAGTTGACATTGGGAGGTCTGTCTCACTTTCCAGTGAATTCTCACCATCCTTAGAATAGGCTCCTCCTCTTGGCCTAGAAAGCCTGGAGTGCACCGGCCCTTACCAGCAGTCCTGAGTCATCTCTTACCATGATCCTTTTGTTCTGATCACTGTTCCCTCCTTCTTTCCTTTCTTCTCTTTTTCTGAGACAGGGTCTTGCTCTGTAGTTCAGATCCTTCTTGCCTCAGCCTCCCAAGTGCTGGGATTACAGGTGTGCATCACCACACCAAACTTTTTCCCTTTCTTTCTTTCTTTCTTTTTCTTTCTTTCTTTCTTTCTTTCTTTCTTTCTTTCTTTCTTTCTTTCTTTCTTTCTTTCTTTCTTTCTTTCTTTCCTTCCTTCCTTCCTTCCTTCCTTCCTTCCTTCCTTCCTTCTTTTCTTTCCTTCCTTCCTTCTTTCTTTCTCTTCTTTTTTTCTTCTTTCTGTCTTCTCTCTGTCTCTGCCTGTCTTCCCTCCCTCCCCGCTTCTCTGGTGGTACTGGGGATAGAACCCAGGGCCCTCACCCATGCCAGGCAGGTGCTGTACCACTGAGCAACCTCCCATCTCATACCTTTGCATAACTGAAAGACTCATGACCAGCCATCTCAGCTGCTTAGGCTTAGCTCAAGCCTCACCTTCTTAGAGGTCCAGCACCACACCCCACTTTCTTTAAAGCACAAATTATTACTTTATATGACTTTTTTTCTTCTTCTAGTATTGGGGATTGAACTCAGAGTCTTCACACTGAGCTACATCCCCTGCCCTTTTATTTGGAGACAGTGTGTTGCTAAACTGCCCAAAGCAGAATGCAAACTTGCAGTCCTCCTGCCTCAGTCTCCCAGAGTGCTGGGATTGCAGGCATGTGCCACCATGCCCAGCTCACTTTAGATATGTTGATTTGTTCAGTGGCTTGTCATCCTCTTTAAGGTGTTAGGTATCACATCCAAACCCAGGACCTCACACATGTGATGAAGGCGCGCTACCACTGAGCCACACCCCTAGCCCACATTTTCTTCTCTTGAAGGTCATCTTTGCCCCATGTAAATAGAAACCTGATCTAGGATTTTTTTTTTTTTTTTTTTAATGAAGTCAGCTTACTGTGTGGCCCAGGCTGGCCTTAAACTTGCTTCAATCCTGCTACCGTATCTGGGCCACCATACTGGCTTTGGTGTCAGCTTATTCTGTAGCCTCAGAGCTCAGCATAATGCTTGGCCTAGCCGGTGCTCCAGAAGACTTTGTGCTGGTCTTCCATTTTCTTGACAAGTATTACTTGGGCACCCACTGTGTGTAAGGTCCAGGGCACAGAGCAGGACACAGCAGGGCAGCCCCAGTCCTCACCCTCAGGCTGGTGGAGGACACACGTCAGGCAGCGTTCTGGACATGCAGGGTAAGTGTGCTCACTGGGCGGGGTGGAGGCCCCCGGGCCAGACCAGATGGGGCTGTTGGTGCAGGGGAAGCCGGAGGCCAAGTGAGAGCTGATTAAAGGGAAGGAGGAAAGAGTGATGTGTATTCCAGACAGAGGACAGCGTGTACAGAGGCCCCCTCTGTGGGAAGGGAGCCCAGACATCAGAGGAATTGAAAGTAGTTCGGCCTGGCTATATTTTGGCAGCAAGAGGCCAAGGGATGATGCTGAGAGCACAAGCAGAGCTGGCCTGTGCAGGGTCTTTGGGAACTGATCTAAAGCACTGAGGAAGAGCACTGGGGAGCCATGCAAGGGGCTGGAGTAGGGGAGGACCACCGCTGTGTTTGCAAACAGGAGCACACTCATTGTTGTGCAGTGGGGAATGGGTCAGAGCCTGGGAAACAACGAGGTGGCCTTGGTCAGAAAAGTGGAGATGGAGAGAAGGGACAGATTCTGGCAGGGTTGGGAAGATAAAGAGGACCTCGTGATTAATTAGTCATCGGGGCTGGGACTTGTTGAGGATAACAGGTTTCTGGCCAAGTTTCTGGCTGATGCTAGCAGTGCTATGCACCAAACAGGGGAACTCAGATTTAGATCTAGTTTTTGTGGGTTTTTTTTGTCTTTCTGAGACAGGGTCTCACTCTGCAGTTCAGGCTGGCCTTGAGCTCACTTTGTAGCCCAGGCTTGAACTTGCAACTATCCTCCTGCTTCAGCCTCCCGAGTGCTGGGATTACAGGCGTGCGCCACCACACCCCGCTCAGATTTAGATCTGGATGACAAAGTTATGAGTGTGGCAGACTGAGTTTCAGGAGAAGGTAAGTAGGTCACTCAAAGTCAACACAAGATTATTCTGTGAGCTTCTTATTGGCAAAAGCCCTTTTTTGGGTTTGTTTTGGTTTTTGGTTCTTTGAGACAGGGTCTCACTATGTAGTTTAGGCTGCCCTTGAACTCACTATCTAGGCTAGGCAGGCCTGGAACTCTCAGTGGTCCTCCTGCCTCGGCCTCCCAAGTGCTGGGATTAGAGGCATACACCACCATATCCATCTTTTTCTTTTCTTTTATAGTGCTGGAGATTGGATCTAGAGCCTTTGCAATGAGCTACATCCCCAGTCGATTTTTTATTTTGAGACAGGATTTTGCTGAGTTGTCTAGACGGGGCTCAGACTTGTGGTCCTCCTGCCTCAGCCTCCCAGAGTACTGTAATTACAGGTATGCACCACCACACCTGGCAAAACCCTATCTTATTTATCCATGTGCTCAACCTCAGGTGGCCCTGGCACAGAGAGCACCAGAGTGTGCTGAATGAAACAGTGAGTAGGAGCTGGGGGTGCAGCCCAGGGGTAGAGCACTTGCCTAGCATGGGTGAGACCCGGGGCTTATACCCAGCACCGCCACCATGACAAAATATATGGAAATGCCACTCTGCCTTGTGCCAAGAAGGGAGAGAACTTTCCATGCTGGTAACCACGATTAATGAGCATCATGCTGGGCGTGGTGGTGCCCATCTGTGATCCAGCACTGTAGGAGGCTGAGGCGGGAGGACCACAAGTTTGACGCCAACCGGGGTAATTTAGCAACTTAGGACCCTGTATGAAAATTAAAAAATAAAATGGTTGGGGATGTAGGTCAGTGCAAAGGCACTAGATTCAATCCCCAGCACCATAAACACAGATTTTAAAAAGAGCATCAGGGGGGCTGGGGATTTCGCTCAGCAGCAAAGCACCTGCCTGGCAAGCGCAAGATCGTGAGTTAGATTCCCGGTACCAGAAAAAAAAAAAAAGAAAAAAAGAGCATCAGGATTCACTCCTGTTCTGGCTCCACCATGCAAATTTATTTATTTATGTATTTATTTATTTATTTTTTGAGACAGGGTCTCGCTATGCAGTTCAGGCTGGCCTTGAGCTCACTTTGTAGCCCAGGCTGGTCTTGAACTCACAACAATCCTCCTGCCTCAGTCCTCCTGCCTCAGCCTCCGGAGTGCTGGGATTACGGGCGTGCACCACCGTGCCCAGTGACCATGCAAATTTAGACAAATCATTTTCTCCTCCTTAAGCCTCAGGTCTCCCAGTCTGTAAAATGGGACAATAACAGTACATCCTCCACAGGGCTGCTGTGAGGATCAATGAATGTTGGAGAGAGGGCTTTGCTTCGATAGGGAAGGAGGCATTTTCCCCTCTGTCATCCCTACATCCCCATCTCTCGGTGATACAATAGGTCTCAGAGAACTCCCTGGTGAGTGGAGATGAAGCCATTCCTGTCAGAAGCTGATAGAATTTGACGCCAAAGTGTCCACATCACTCTTCGGCTGAGCCTGAGAAGGGACAAATAATAGCCTCACCATGTCCATGTCCCCATCCCTGGGGCCTGTGAAGAAGTTACTTTATACGGTTAAAGGGATTTTGCAGATGAGATTAAAAGAAGAACCTTGGAAAGGGGAAGCTATCCAGGATTTTCCAGATGGGGTTAACTGGGCATGGTGGTGTATGCCTGTAATCCCAGCAGTATGGAAGGCTGAGGCAGGAGGACCCTAGGCTGCAAGTTTGAGCCTAGCCCTGGCAATTTACCAACTTAGCAAAAGCCTGTCTCAAAATTTAAAAAAAAAAAAAAAAAAATTAAAGATGTTTAGGAGATATGTAGCTCAGTCCAAAAACCCTGAGTTTAATTCCCAGTACCTACAGAAAAAGAAAAAGAAAAAAAAAAAAGAGGAAGAAAGACAGAGTCAAAGAAGAGGTGAGTTGCTAGAAGCAGAGGTCAGAGTGATGTGATCCCTGGCTAGAGGTCATAAGCTCGCAGAGAGGAGAGGCAGCTTCTACAAGTGGGGAACAGGAAATAGTTTCTCCCTTTACACGTCCAGAAAGGCCACCAACTGCAAACCAGAGAGACCCATGTCATGTGACCATGAGAACTGTAAAACAGTAAATTTGTGTTGCTCTGAGACACTTCATTTGTGGTCATTTGTTCCAGCAGAAAGAGCCTGCAGGCAGGGCCTGAAGGGCAGGGGTTTGACCCCTGGCAGGACAGCCGACATTTCCAAGTCACGCAGCAGCTCTGGCAGGAGCCCCCTTGCCCCCAACACCTGCTTTGTTTCCCATCTCCCTTCCTGCGTTCTCTCAAGAATTTTGTCTCTTCCAGGGACTCCAGTATCTTGCTAGGTGACCTTGAGCAAACCCCTTCCTTTTGATGGATCTCAGTGTCTGCATATGTAAAAGACTAGAGGAGCTGGTCCAGGGGATCCTCCAGGCCCTGGAGGCCTGCCACAGTGAGTCAGCATTTCTGGGATGTGCCTGCAAGAGCTCCCGGAGGATGCTCTTGGGCCGCTGCCCTCCATCCCCGCACTGGTTTCCTCCCGAGAGAGAGTCCTGCTACAAATAATGCACTGCTGCTAAAACAGTGAGCTCAGTGAAAAGACGGGGACAATGCTTTATTGACTTGGCACCTATGAACGGGTGGCTACAGGCCCCAGGCTTCTTTGCCATTGCAAAGTGGAGGCTCTGTGGTGGGGGAGTAGAAGTCAGATGCTGGTTCCAGCTGCAGGGAGGGACTGCTGTCCCTGCTTTGGCCCCTCCAGCCCCCTTGTCCAGCTGAGCACCATCTGAGTCCAGGCCCTCACAGGGAGGGGCAGGGCGACGACCCAGGTTCTTCCACAGCTCCTGAGAGTCTAAGGGGAGGGCTGTGCGTCCCTCTTGCCTACCTCTTCTTGTGGCTCCCAAGATAGGCGAGGGGAAGGGGAGAACCCCATTTGCAGAGAGCCACTGAGCCCCCTGGGTCAGGATCCAGGTAGGGAGGGTCAGGAGTGCTGGAATAGGAGCGCTCAGGAAGAGAAGAGTTGATCTGCTCTCCTCTATTTTCTGTATTGGCTGCATGGGCTGTCAGATGCAGGGCCCTCAACAGCTGATGAAAGGCTGAGGTCACATAATGAAGTCGATGGGGTACAGGTCCCCGTGCAGGACCACGCTGCCTGGGCAGTCTCTCTTCTAGGCACGGGGAAAGAGGGGCTGCTTGAACTGCAAAAGTCACAGGAGGAGGCCCTCCTAGTGGAGGACAACTTCCTGGAGAAAGAGGGCTTCCTGGAAGAGGAGGACCAGGTGACACTTGGCTCCCCAAAGAGGTGGTCTGCAGAGCCAGCTGGGTCATGACAGCTGGCACAGGACGCTGGCATCCTCACTGTGGTCACAGTTGTGGGCGTCCCAGCGGATGTGGGAGCAGAGCAGCAGGGTGCTCTCATCCCCGCGGCACTTGACATTATCCAGGAGGATGGGGCCTCGGCCTGGGCCAAAGTGGGCCTCGCCAGGGGCTGCCAGGGCCTGGCCACAGCCCAGCTGGCGGCACAGGACACTGGCCGCTCTCAGGTCCCAGGCATCATCACAAATGGTACCCCACCGCTGCCCTAGGAAGAGCTCCACGCGGCCCTCGCACCGGTGGACTCCACTGGCCAGACGCAGGTGCCCTGTGTGTGGGGTCAAGCCTGGGGTTAGAAAAGGCCACCTCCCATGCTAGGCCAGAGGAGGTGAAGAGTAATTCTGGGAGATACAGCATTGCCCTGGAGGCCCCCATGAGTTCAGACAAATGAGATTAAATTAGGATGGGCAACTACAGCTGAGAATGATGGTGAACGCCTGTGACCCCCAGCACTTGGGAGGCTAAGGCAGGAGAATCAGTGAGTTCAAGGGTAGTCCCAGCCACAGAGTGAGTTCAAGGGCAGCCTGAACTACACTGAGAGATTCTGTTTCAAAAAACCAAAATAAAGTAGACAGCAGTTCCACCCAAAAACTCGAGGCTGGAAGAAAGTGCGACGAAAGCGTCCGTGGTCCAAGAGCTGGGTTCTCCCTAGTCCTTTGCTCATAATCTCGGTACCTCAGCCCCAGGCCAGTTCTTTGTGGAGACTGATTATGTCCTATTATGTACCCCTAAGGTCATCATAGTCTCCCCCTCACTCCATTGATTCCCAGAACTAAATTCTGAACTCTCATTCCTTCCCTAGGACAGGTTCCCCATGCCCAAATATTGACCCCTACTCTAGAAATTTCTAGATTGTCCTAGTTTAAAACTTAGCTCCTTTTTTCTGGACATCCCACTCCTGTTTATGAGGAGGCCTGAGACCCCCGTGGTCATGGTTCCAGGACCTGATGCACATCTGCTGTGACCTCTCTCAACCCAGGTCTGTCCCATCCTGGTGTCTCCGCCTCACTTTCAGACAGCTGTGGGCACCTACCATCCCTGGGCCGAGGAGTGGGCACCCGGGTGGTCTCAGAACCATCCTGCTGGACTTGGAATCCCAGCTCTTCCGGGCCTTGCTCAGGAAGGACAGAGAAAAAGATTCCGGTCACACTGGGGAGAATATTCCTTAGGGCCAGGTCACCTCCTCCCCTCCCCAGGGAAGCATTTCTAGGGACAGACAGAATAGATTTCACAGGTTCCTGAAAAACTGCTTCCTGTTCCTTAAGACTGAAAGTGGAGGTTGTGAGCTGGGTGTGGTGGTGCATACCTGCAATTCCAGCACTCCGGGAGGCTGAGTCAAGATCTCAAGTATGAGCTCAGCCTGAGCAATTTAGGACTTAGCAAGACATAGTCTCAAAATATAAACGAAAACGGCCAAGGATGTAGCCCTATGCAAAGGCCCTGGGTTCAATCCACGGTACTAAAAAATAAAGCTGTGCTAATTTGACCCAAGGGTCCAAGACAGAACCCCTGTGGCCTAGCCCTTCGTGGCCAAGTCTTTCAGGAGGGCAGAGGGCCCACTAGGTCTGGGCGGCAGATGAGGGTAACTATAAGCTCTTCCAGTAGCAATCAGTGAACAGAAGAAGCAGTTTACAAAATCCTGCCAGATTCTGCAAACATCTTGTTTACATCGCCCCTTCCATAACTCACAGGCTAGAACAGTAAAGACATTAATTCTCCCTGCCTTTCTACTAGAGCTCTGCACGTCTTTGACTCAGCAGGTAGCAAGCGGCTCCGCCCTTCACAAGCTCGAACCTGGCCTCGCCATACTACCCCGCCCTACTCTAACACTGCAGAGGGCGCTCCCTTCCGGCCCCGCCCCACTGCCGCGCAGCCGCAGAGCACGCTGGTGGGTGCGACGCTCATCTCTGCGGACAGCTCCCGCTGCAGTGCCGCAGAGACCCCTCACGCAGACCGCGCCGCAGTACACGTACGCGCGGCCCCGCCCACACCATCGCTGACGTGCGTGCTGACGTAGGCCCCACCCCGCCCCTCCTCACCCGGCCAGTCCCGCGGAGCCAGACTTTGGTGCCTGCTCACCTACGCAGAGCGCGCCGGCGTCCTCGTGGTGGCCGCAGTTGTGCTGGCCCCAGCCCAGGTGGAAGCAGTCGCTCAGGCGGGCCTCGGTGCCCGCACAGCCCACGTTGTCCAGCAGTACGGGGCCGCGGCCGTAGCCGAAGTGGCCGAGGCCCGTGGCGCCCAGCGCAGGCCCGCATCCCGCCTCGCGGCAGGCCACGCGCGCGTCCGCGAAGTCCCAGTCATCGTCGCACACGGTGCCCCAACCCCCGGCGTACAGCACCTCCACGCGGCCGCGGCAC